AAAGATAGGAAGGGGAAGTTGCAGCCACCTCAACCTCCTCAGTAAATCCTTCTCTGACCACAGCTGCCCCCAGATCTTAGTTTCTGCTCTGAAGAGTTGTCTGTTCTCACAACCAGCAGTTCCCAGCATTCTGGTGCACCAGTTCCGTTTTGTGCTCATCTTTCCCGAACACAGACAACTGGAATTGTATGTGTTATTCCAGAAAGGTTCTCAAACAGTGTCTCTCTCTTATAATGGAGAAAAAAGGGGAAACAGGAAAAAAAAAAAAAAAAGCGCCTTATCTGCCCCATCATAATTGAAGAAACTCAAAGGAGAAAAATCCTCTATGGCCTGAACAAACAAGAGAAACCATAAAGTGTCTGTGATTCTGACAGACTGAGCTAAAATGGAATTTCCAGGCAAAACCCTTACACTAATACAGATTAGTGGTCTAACAATCTAACTGTTCCTAACACAGGGCTGGATAACATTTAATACTCCCTTAGATTTGGTTCAGACTTTTATAAGAAGTAAATCAAAGAAGCCTACATACATCTTAGAAATGGCATGAAGTCCTTTCCAGGCTACAAAGCAACCCAAAACTGTGAAGTGATTTGTAGCAATACAGGCAAGCTAACTTAACATAATTTAACTGCATACTTACGAAAACAGAGCCCTATTAACTTGTGCTTCAGCATGATCTCTAAAAGGATAAAGTCACCTAGTAAATACTAAGGCAGATAACATTCACGGAATCCTATACTGCAAAGGATATTGCTTTCAATACCAGGGCTATGAAGTTGAAAACTAGTTTAATAGGCGTATCTAAGCTACAGATCATATCTTTAAATTACGACATAAGCAAACACAATGAATTTGCACAACATGCCTATTAGTAACTTAATACTTCCTATGTCTCCATTTATAGGTTTAACTTGCGGACCACAGCTAAATTTTGCCTCTTTCAATACATTGTGGCTTTTAACATCATTACTGGTAAGGGCTAAGAATTTTGGCCCACCTTGTCTGGTGACAATTTTCACAGCATCTCAGCACTTCAAAACTTTACATGGGATTATTACAGTAATACCTCATAAGTTACTGAAGTACCACTAAGCCATTTCAGTACAAAAAGAACAGAAAGACATACCTGTAACAGCATTAGCCACTTTTACACTGGCAGTACAGTTATTTGACCTCTAAATTCTTTTCAAAGTCATTTTTCAGATATACCTCCCTTTTTTTAAGCATTAATGACACTTTAATGGCTGCAAATGCCCATTTTTGTTACTCAGTCATGAAAGGATCTGCATCATTATGTACAAGCGCCATTATCCAGCAGCAGATGTTTCTCAGCAATTCTTTTAGATGACTTTCAGATGACTGAGGAGAAAACATACTTAAATTTCAGATTATTGAGAAATATAACAATTTATCCATTTAGTGACAGTTGTTTTAAGGTCTAAATTTTATCCAAATCTTAATACATTTAATGGACGATTACTGATATTGTACACGATAATTTTTACCGAACTATTATCTGATACTAATGCATTAGTATTCTTAAAATATATTTAATGAAATGTATAAATGAGGTTGGTAATTTAAGTGATTTTTTTTAACTAAGATTTATATCAGTTGAACTAATCACACTCATGTCATTCAGTTATAGATAGAATCTCTAATGTTTTCAATTCTTGAGGATTGATGTCAGCCTCCCTAAAAGCAACAGTATTTCTCTGAACCTTAAAGAGAGTTATATCAGGACCATGCATGGCAGAGATATTCACAGTGAAAGTAAATTAGATACCTGTATATTAAGATTGAGATTCAGATCATTCTGGTACCCAAATGCTGACTATCTGATGAATATCAGGTATCACTTGAAAAATCAACTGTAAGGAAGACATGATAGTGTACACTGATGGCAAAGCGTACCCAAAATGGCATTTTCCTAAATTACTTGTTAATCTCTACGATTTCTGAAGATTGGAGAATCTGTCACATGTGATAACAATAAAGTATGCATTAACTCAAGAGTAAGTTCTGCTCTGAAGGACCTTGGACTACCCAAGAACCATTATATTAGATGATTACTTTGTATACTACCACAACTTTATTCCAGAGGAAGTAAAGATACAGAAAAACAGAAAAGAAGGTAAACTGTAGCAATACAGAAACAACAAGGCATAAATCCTGAACTGTGGACTTAATTTCCAGTTATGCTGTGCTCAAGCATGTGGTTTATAAGCCACAGGAGCTAGAGAGGAAGGGAGAGGAAGAGATTTAGTCAGGAAACAGAAACAAATAGCTGCAGGATGGACGAAAAGTGCCAGAGCAGCAGGGAAGAAAGTCGTCAACTAGAAATAGCTGAAGACTGAATTTATAAGTAGGCCTACCTAGAAGCCCAGAAGTGAAGAAGTCAGAAAAGTTTTTAAAAGCTTTTCTGAACCACAGTTTATTACTGGTCTCAGCTTTCAGGTAGGATACTCAGCAAATATCTGTACCTAGCTTGACCTGGTTAAAGAAAAAAAAGGCACAGTTGCTGTAGGGGGCACTGTAAACCTTGATTTGCTCTAAGAGTAGAGGAATTGTGAAGACAGATTGTGCCTGAATGTGCACTTAGAGAAACTAAAATGGTGTCACAGTGCAGCTACGGAGGGACCAGGACGTCTAGTTGTCCTAGTAAGTTCCACAAACTTACTTCAACTCCTGACACAATACAAGTAACCATTCACATACTTTTTTTTCATAATACACCTAAATACATACACAAGTTTCCTTCTGATCTCAGTAAAATAAATATTTATATATCCTAAGAAAAACTTGTTCTTCCAGATGTTACAGAATGGTATCATTAAGTATACACTGATGTATAGAAACGTCACTTTAAATGCGTATCATGTATGCTAGATCAAATTTTCCAGTTAATAGCAGTGCCATTTTGTGTCTTATGACACAACATAAGGGGCAGAGCAGCTGCAAAAAAAATTATAAAAACCATAATGGGTCACACTACAGGTCTATCTAGGCACTATTCAATCTCCAATAAAGAGAATAAAATATATCTGCAGAGCAAGTAAATGATACTTTAAGTACTCTTACATCATTAGGTAGTCTGTATTTCACATACCTGTTAAAATTCAGGACCTTTATGTTCAACAGTTCATAATAGATTTCTTCCATTAGTTTATCCACTTTCTTTCTGAACCTGTATAAATTTTTAGCCCTAACAATATTCTGGAATATGGTCTTCCACTCTGGGAAGGACTCCTTTTATTTGGTACTAACTTAGCCCTGACAATTCATCTGACAATGCCTGTCTAACCTTTCTGTTTGAAGAGAAAGGGAACAGTTGTGCACTATTCATCTTCTACATTCATGATTTTATGGACATTCATCACATTCTTTCCCATTCCAAGCCATCTCCTTTCCACGTTAGTGTATATTCCACATTCAACTGTAATTCCGTATACAAGAGCATACCTTTAAATTCATCTGATTATCCTTCCCTTATTTTTGAAGAAAGTTTTCCATCTTTGAGATGGGGGGCAGAACTGCAATACTGTTTGAAAAGGTGGGGCAGTCTAGGTTTATTAAGTGGCATAACAATGTTCTCTTCTATTCCTTATTCCGCTCCAACTAATTCATAGCACTTATTTCTTTCCTGACCACCACTGAGCACTGATGTTGTCACATTTAATGTAACTGTAAAGTTTCAAAACTTCAGAAATTTTTACTAGGTCATAAGCTATCACTGTGCAGAAGGAACTGGAATTATTGTTTCTTCTATGCCATCTGCCATGTTCTTGCTTAGTCATGCAAATCTTCTGCAATCTTCACATTTGTTTTTTGACTTTTATCACTCTGCATAGCTTAGGACTGTTAATAAACTTGGCTTCTATAATGTGAACTTCAGATTTGAACGATAAATTCACAATTAACAACTTTCAAATGTCTAACAAGCATTGCCTGTTAACTAGCAAGGCCAATATAAATCTTAAATATCTCCAACATAGTTTTGAAATCCAGGTTTGACAAGACTTAAATACTTTTTATATAAGCTAGTGTTGAACAACCACAGATATTGCGATTACACTTTTCAAATAATTTCATACTGAAGCAAGACTAAAGAAGGAGAACAATAGATACCCTCAAACCTATTATATTCACAGAACTGATGCTAAGTGAATTGAAATGAGAAAACACAGATGCATCTCAACTTTTGAATTTAAACCAGTATTTTGTTCTGTGCATTGACACTGAAGATATCTGCAGTGTATATAAACGCTTCCCTCCCCCCTGCCCCCTCCCATCCCCTCGCCTGAAGTTTTTTCCAGTTCCCTCTGATCAATGTTATATCTCAAGAATTCTTGAAACACAAAAGCACACTCAGAAACACCAAATTATTAGCCCTTTTTAAACACGTATAATGCATACTAAATCAATACATCCTTAATGTGGTACTTGGTTTTATATTAGCTCCAAGCAAGTGCTACTGGCCTCTGTATGTATGTACTCAGGACTGCAGGGTACAGAAAGAAATAATTTTTAGTCTGTCTGCAACAGTGGCATGTGTGACATACAAACCACCTCAAAGTGGCATGCCTGTGCAGCTCATAATCCTGCTTGTATAAAGATACAAACCTAACCCAAAGAGTAAATGTGGGCCACATCTATTCATAGCATATCTGAAGTTGGAAGGGACCACCGCTCTGCTCCTCACAGGACTACCTAAAACTAGATCAGACAAATAAGAGGGTCATGTTCATCATGCTGCATGGCAGCTTCCTTCTGTACGTGGCAATAGACCTTGTGTCCACCCTCTATTTTCCAGCCACTGTACTGACCCTGTTCAGTAAAAACAGCAGCATGGTTTCTTATTTAAGGGAGTAAAAGCATTTACAGAGGTTTGAGGGCATCCCTCCTCAGCAATAATGCCTCATACACCATCTGGAGCTAGTATTACTGCTGATGAGTGAATATGAGGAAATTAAACTTAGAAACTTCTACCTTAAACCATGGGAATTTCCACCGAGTTCAATGGGACTATTCAATGTAAGCACATAAAAATTAATAGACTTCTAGCTGACTGGTTAAGTTTTGCTGCACAATAGCAGGAAATATGTAAATAAGTATTTTTATTGTACTACCTTCCTGTAGGTTCTGATTTACAAGTTCTTCTTTTTGTCGTCTACCAACATACTCAACGTCTTCAGTAAACTATGAAAAACAAATCAGGAAAAGCTTTCAATGTTTTAAATAAAATGAAAATCCCGTATAATTTTTTCCACATGTTAACTGTTTGACTAACTGCTGTCCATTTTTATTAGTGGATATAAAGATTAATAAACTAAAATGCCCAATGTTGCTGATATTTGAGATTTAACATTTATTGTTAATTTCCAAATGGATTATTTTCTCACGCAAAAATCAGGAGCGTGAATTAGACATGGGCTAGTTCCTATACTATGATTCTTGACAACTGGACATTTTTAGTGAAGAGTCCCGACCGTGCCATTTGCTCCCTCTGGTGGTCACAGCTCAAACCTGTGTTTCACAGAAGATTACAAAGCCTATTACTCAGGGGAGGGTGGAGGAGTGGGGTAGGGTGTTTCCCAATTGAGACGAGCACTTTATATAACGAAAATAAAAATGACTTTTTAAAAAAAAAATGTTTCTGATTTATTATTATATTCTTTAAAAAAAAAAAGCCAGACTGAAGTGCAGCCTTCTTGGTTCACAATACAGGAAAAGAGATTAATAACCAATTAAAGGCTGTAAAGAACCCACCACAATCAAACCAGTATTTAACATTAAACTGATCAGGAATATTAGGTAGTATGACACAGTACCATTGAAAAGAGAACAGAGCTATTGTTCAGAGGGCTGTTTTAAATTTTTTCCAAATGTCAAAGTCATCTTTTCAATATATTTGGTTTACAGTACGGCTTAGCTGTGAGCACTTGATCCTTCTTCGATCTAACAATACAATCAAACTGCATACAAACATCCCTCAAAAACGCACAAATATTTCTTCGAAAAAATCCAAGCCAAATCACTGGATGCAAGTTTTCCCTGTTCAAAAGGGACTCTGCTCTCAGCAGCTACACTGACACAAACCCACACTACTTACATTCAAACACAAAACAAGAGCTATTACAGATTTATACCAGCATTGCTATTAACAGACTTTTGTACTTTTCAGTTTTCATTTACATTGCCAAAGACTCTTCTTTGATTAAAAACGATAAAGACTCCACAACTTCAAAGAATGACTCCACTAAAAATGTAAGTGTCCATCTGATGTTTAGTAACTGTACAGAGATCAAAAAAAGTGAAGTTACACTAAAAGAAATACGCAAAAGTGAACAGGTATGAATTATCAGTTTGTATGGAAAGTCAAAAGGAATAATCCAATATGAAAAGCATCAGAAACAGCATATGGAAAGCACATTTGTAAGTTTCATAAATGAGGCATCTCAAAAATGCTGTATGAAAGCACTAACTCTAGGACAAGAGTGAAAAAAGCCTTGGAGGAAATAAGATACAACAGAGCAAAGAACAACAAACTCAAAATATTTGCTTAAAATATTTAATGTACATGATCCATGTTAAATAATACAGTATCAAGTAGATGTCAAAACATATTAATAAACAAATTATGAAGACCAACATTACAGCAGCTGTTTCACTCTGAATCACTGTTTAAATTTTCAGAACATGCTTCTCGTAACAACAACGATTCTGGCTGTCATCCACTGATGACAACTTGAGAGTAGCGTGCAGTACATGGGAATAATTAAGCAAACTAAACAGCACCACCTAATGAAATTTCAAGGACATTAAAAACAAAAATAAATTGGCTTAAGCAAGGAAGATGATTAGCTGTTTTTTAAATCTGCGTTACTCGCACATCCTTGACTAAGGAGATGGTCTATTTTGAAACATCTAGTTAGAAAATAATTTGGCATGAGCTCTAGCTGTGGAGGAGATACTCTGTTTAACCCATGCTACTATCGTATCTGACACTACACTCAAGTGACAGTGAAGAAAAGCACAAGGTTTGGAAATGTGCCAGAATTTCAAAGTGCATTTTTTGCTACTACCAGAAAACTGCATCTAAATAGGGTTGAGTGATAATGAGAACTTGAATTGAACTTCGAGAGCCCCTTGTGACCTACAGATGAAAAGGCTTACTGCACAGACCAAAGAAAATATAAAATCTCGAAGAAAACTGTACAGGTGACAGAACAAAACTGATGAAAGAACAGTTAATTCTGACAGAACTAAAGCAATGCATATTTTGCAAGCCACATACACTCATATAAGATACTTTTTAATAACAGAGCTGTTCTATGCAAGAAATGTACATCACGCCTAAAAAAGGCATCCTGAAAAAGCAGCCACTGTAAAAAATTAACTAGGTTAAAAAAAACCACAACCAAAAACCAACTGCAGATAAAATTCCATGTAAATGTAAAGCAAAAAGAGCAGGCACAATCTTTGGTCACAGAAACAGTAACAAAGTAAGAGTAGAGAGGAACTGCACATCTATATAGTACTGACCTAGCCAACGCTAACACCACTTAGGGGTTGTCCATATTTTAAAACACAACAGAGGAAAACAAAAAACAATACAGTAAAGAGCTGCAAAATAATTATTAGAAGGCTGGAAAAGTTTCTTATAGAGGGATTTGAGACCTATAATATATTATGTAGTATTCAAATCATATCACAATCTTCTTAAGCACACCGAAAGAAGAACTTAGCATGTCCATGACTACTCCTATAGAGAAAGAGAAATAAGAGCCAAGACACTGAATGCAAACCATAAGTAAAATATGCTAGCGATTAAATATGGGTATAAACTAAGACAAGGAAGTGGATTCTCCATCTCCAGAGGGATGCAAATTGAGCAGGATGCTTGCTTGTATTCTAACTTTTAATATAAATGTAAATCAATTAAATTGAGCAAGCTGAGATATAAAGGGACTCATGCTGAAAAACAACATGATCCCACCCCACACTGCAGGCATCTATGAAGCAAAACTAAAAATAATTCAAAACAACAGAATTTAGCAACTATTTCTCCAGGTTCAGACAGTAATCAAAGCTGTTCAAAGTTTAGACTAATAATATTCTTGCTGTTGCCTAAAATAATGACGTGTTACAAATTTCCAAACAACAACAAAAAAAATCTATTACTATAATCCAAATATTACTCAAATTCAAAAGAAAAAGAAAATTTAGTATTAACAATTAAACAAAGCTTGTTTAAAACAAGAATCCAATGACCTTCACTTTGAAGAAAGTTATTTTAAAAGGGTCCAAAAGTATTTTCTTACAAAATATAATCTTTAAAACTTCAGTTCCTTAGAGGATAGTTCTGCTAACAGCAATAAATACCCTTTGCTGAAAAAATAGCAATATTATTGTTTTCATAAAATAGACTTAAAGCCAATTTTACATTATAAGACCACTAACAGACCAATTTTTTTTCTCTAGATGTGTTAAAATTGCCTAACTACTGGAGCGAAGCATCATTGGTTATTTGTACTGTTTATGTAACTAATGTAATTTAATTGCTGTCATTCATACTGATACATAGTAAGGCATTCCAAAACCACATACAGGAATCACAGGTAATTAAGATTACCTGTGAAATGACAATGATGAAGTATTTTTGCCTTTCAATACAGGGACATTCAGTTATACTATATTAAAAGGTAACATTAACAAAACACTTTTTTTTTTTTTTTTAACTCTGTCCTTAAAGATTATTTTTTTTTTCAAGGTTCTTTCTTCTTTCTGGCTAATTAAAATTACTGTTGTAGAGATGGATTATATGTTTACTGCTAACAGAACATCATCACTGGTATAAGACTACAATAAAGTTGATAATAAATTGCTGTAATGCACAAGGTGACAGCTCAGAAGTCCCTGAAATCAATCAGTGCCTTGATATCCTACTTAAACTGTGGAGCTGAGGAGCTCTGATTACTGTCTTTTCCTTGTTTGCGCTACCTGGCTGAATGACTGCTAGTTACCTGTTTGCTTCCTGTACCCTCTCTAACTTGATTGGGTAAGCTCTGGAAGTATCCTATGCAAAATATTCAGAAGAGACAGAAAACAGGCATTTTCTTTGTTAAAAATTAAATACCAGACCAGATGTATCAGTCTTCTTACTCCAGGGTTATGAAGATTATTTTACTTAAATCTTAATACGGGTTCTAAAACTTCTTCCTCTGATGTTAACTTTGTTAGGCAATGAAGTGATTGCATCCACTTGGAAGGACCTTACTGATAAGTGTATGTTTTCTAGCAAAAGAAAGAGGACACTAACAACCAATATAAGTTATCATTTGAAGTATTAGATTTTAGAAGGAATACTTTATACTTAAGTGTAAGAAAGTCAAATTCAACTATTCTTCAAAGATAAAGTGTTAGGAGAATTTCAAGAATTTATGGCCCTCTCTTAATTAGAGCACCTTATGATTCCACAAGATTCTTCTACACAATTGTGAGTTACGATGTGGCCTTTGGCTTTCCCTCAGATTAAAATATTTTAGTACTACAAGTATTATGTCTTCTTCCTTGAAGACACAGGATTTTTTTCTGTCCTTTTCTGGAACTGAAAAAGACAGCATAACACTATCCTTGCAAAAATTCTTGAAAATACTGCTATGAAACACTGATGGCTATGTTATATTTGATGGCTAAAATATGAATAGCTTTCACAACACTCATGAACCTGAAGAAAACCCAAGATATAATCTGCATTTTACTATTCTCAGACTGTAAGTAAGTTTTATACTCAAAACCAAAAAACTTAAGAAGAAAACCTCTTGTACTCCTATTGATTAGACTTCACAACAATAAACTTTTCCAAAATTGTGTTGTGGTAAGCATGCAAATCATTACAGCCATCTCTAAGAAACAAATGCTTTACAGAACCCAATGACTATCCAACTAATGAAAAGATACAATGCCGATTTAATTTTCTAAAAAACACTATTTTACTCTTAGCAGGTATAAATTCAATAACCTCTTCAGTACACTTTCTTTTTGCAGTGCAGTTACAACACAAACATCTTCATAGAAGCAGATCAATCTATTTTCCTACATCACACTTTTAGAGAAAAGCAGGGAAGATACCCTATGGCCCACTCCACTCTATACCAAATGCTTCAGGGTGCTTGTGAGCCAACTGCTACAGTATCACATAATAGCAGTGCAGAAAGCCAAGTGATAAAATAGCACAGAATAGCTGTCCCCATTTTCCCAGAATAAACCGCACAGGCGTGTTCAGATAGCACTTCAGCAAAAAGAATGAATGTGACTGGTTTCACAGAGAATTCACGGTATGAATAGTTGCTTGCTTAAGCTAATAATGCCTCACTGAAGGCACGATCAGGTACTGAAGAACTCTTTTCCTGCACACATCAAATGGATTTAGACAAGAATGGCCATTCCACATGGAACTATGTCACAATCTCTCAGCTTCAAACTGAGTTTTGGGGTATGCTGGAGGGATGTTACTTTTTGTTTTAAAGAACATCAAACTATTTCTAGTCTTATATGTATCAAAAAGATTACTACCCTCTTTCTAACCTGAATGCTCAGCTCTAAAGCATTAACTAGAGACCATCTGCTGTCATTGCACTTATTTAGTGAAATCAGTAGTTAAACATTTCTTACATGGATGTGGAAAAAAGGCAGAAAGTCAAGATTTATGGCAAAACAGAACACTTATGGAACTGTTTGCTGTGTATTTTTCTAGTTCTTACTTTACAGTAATGTGAACAAAATATAAAATCTGGTATTTTTTAAAAATATTTCTCTTAATTATTTCATCTGATGACTTTTTGGTTTGTTTCTGATCAGGATCCATTTGTTTGAAGTGTCTGCATTCAAAAAGAACTGTTTTAACACATATACTGGTAAAAGGAACACTTTTCAGAGTACATTCAACTCAGCAAAGTTATATGAAGTTATATAAACATTGCTTTAAAGTGTGCAATAAAGGAGTGAAAGAAGCAATAAGACACTAACATATATTCAGGAGTTATAGTTGGGTTTTTTTTCTCCAGTATGTTAACTTAAAAGTAACCCACACAACTGCTGAAATCTGTAACACTAGTTTTAGAAATGTTAAAAGTTTACTGTCTTGGCAAACAGAAATAAAGTTGTTCTGCTTCTCTCATACCAACACGATAATTTCAGGCTAAATTGCAGCTCTGTAATTAATAAGCAAGCTTATCAATAAGGTGGTAAAGAACTACTCTGAAATTTAACACTGGCAACTTCTGTCTGATATAAAAAAGCAAATGCAAAGTGCAAGAATGCCGCTATCATTTCACATCATCTGTACATTAATACAGTGGGAGCCATCGACTACTTAAGCTTTTTAAAATGACAAACACTTGAAGGAGTTTCAGAAACGACTTGAAGTGCAGCCAGAAAATAAAAATTAAAACTAATACCGCAGACTACACGCTAAAGTAAGTGATACAGCACTGGCTCACCGATTACCTCCCCTTCACCCCCCACCTGCCTTCCATGCTAAAAAGATGAGGCCATGCCCTCTCATCTATCCACCTCCTGAACAGCAAGACGTGACCAGCGTACTGCTGCAAGCCAGAGGCAGCAGGCACGGCCCAGGACAACAATCTGCAGACAGGCCGACTCAAAAAAAAGTCAAAAGTGGCCCCGAGCGCAGGAGCTGGCATCTCCATAGAGAGGAAAGGCGCGGACGGGGACGCAGTGCATCTCTCCCTGCAAGACGAGGCCAATACACCCTTCCCGACCCGCGCGCTCCGTGCGTTGCTCCCTCACAGACTCCTTCCAGCCTCCGCAGCTCCACCGAGCTTCCGGCAACGGCTCACTCAGCGGCTCCAGCGGGCCCGAACTCCCGGGCTGCACCTGACACAAAACCCCACAGCGAGAGAAAACAAACAAACAAACAAAAAAAAAAAACAACCAAACAAAACAACAACATACCCGTCTCCTTACACACTCACT